CCACTATCATATTTGCTTTTACGTATCTTGTGTATTGCGAATTGTGACTTAAAATAGATTGTCTCATAGACTTCAGTTGCATTTCAGCTCCACCCGGCACACAGTTGAGCCCTCTCCAGGCACATATAATTTCTGCATGTGGCAAAAAAATTAAGGATGCAACTCAAAAAATTGCAACAGAACACAAAGAGATCCACAGCAGTGTTTCAAAAGTTGGAAAAGCAATTGACAGGGTAAAATGTTTTCTGTTTTTTCGTCTGATAATATTTTCACAATATTTGAATCCCATATCAATAATATTACTATCAGCAGGATATTGAATCTTTCCTGGGCATAAAGGCAAACTTTGAGTATCTGCTAGCTCTTCAGCTTGAAAACAAATTGACTTCTAGTTAGTTGTTACAGGTTTAATTATAACAAATCGTCATTGTCGTTTGGACTTTGTTATACAACCTTATGTTTTTTTTCTTTTTTAACTTCTAAAATGTATGTTGATGAATTAAAACAAAATGTTTTTTCTTATCTTAGAACTTCGTATCTGATTTTACTGGCACAACACAAGAAGGAATATTTTCAGGGAATGAAGCAGTTTTACTAAATGAAGCAATAAGTGAGCATTTATTACGGCAAGGCCATGTTGATGTGGCTGACATGTTGATACAGGTAAGATTGCACAGTGATGCAGACTGCATGTGCAAAGTCCTCTTTTACAATTTATGGGCTACTATGCTAATTTTGAATGCCAAAAATTTGTTGTTCTTTTTTACTTCTGCGGAGAGTGAATAATACTCGATTCAAGATCAGATTATTTATTCTTTTTCTCTCATCGTGACTTTAGACTTAAGATAGTATGTTGTTATTAGTACCCAATTGCTGTAACTCATTGCATTGGCACTTGGAGAGGGTTTTTACACAGAAATGAGTGACATCAGTTTAAACATTTTTAACATCCATTGCCACATTATCTGTAGGATTTATTCCTTAGTTTCTAACATCTTATTATTTTACATCAGGAAGCCAATCTGACACTTGATGAAAAGCAAAAAGAACCTTTTTTGGAACTTAACCGGATTTTAGAAGAATGCAAAAATCATAACGTGGAACCTGCACTCAGGTATAAAAGGCCACTTATAATCATAAAGTCCTGTCATTGGTAACGACTATTAGTTCGTGATTTCTATAAAGGAGTGATAATTTGAAAATTTCGGTTAAAGCCGTGGTCAAAATTATTTAGACACCTACAAAAGATTTCTCTCCCTCTAAATTTTCCCCTCCCTTTTGCAATATTATCAGATATTTGATAGCTGTCTGAAAAATCTTGAAAGCAACTCTCTTCTGATAAAATAGTTAAGCCTACCATTTTCATTGTTATTCCATGCCTTTGGCCTAGCTACATATGTGAGAAAAGAGCGAAAGTGACTGAAAATGATAAACGAGACAAGTGTATTAGGTCTTTTATTTCTCCATATTTTGCAAGGTACCCCGTGTAAATTTGTTCTTTTTCCATCAAAGGTGGGTTCAACTAAAAAGGGATGAGCTCCAATCAAAAAACAGCTCTCTTGAATTTAAGTTGCATAGACTGAAATTTATAGATTTGGTAAAAGAGGGACAGTGGAGAGAGGCTCTGGAATATTCGAAAAATTTTTCACGATTTACTACTCAAATAAAAGGTATCTGTGTTTAATTTCTTTGTATAGCTTTTTAGGCAAGATTTTGTGCTTTTGTTTTTACTATGTAAAATAGCAGCATTTTTGGTTATAGCAGCATTGCATTACGTTGTTGCAAAGCTTTTAATGGTTTACATAAATACTGCAGTTGTACACAGCATGGAAGATTTATAGATTTACCAATAAATGTTTACAGATACATGTTTACAGTAAACAGGGCAAAAAAGTATTATGATTTTGAAATCATTAGCTGACTTTTAACATGAATTTACCAAAGTATTAGAGGTCCTTAGGGATGAGACACGCTTCGTTTCAAGCTGTCCGTTACATCATATTCCTGCTTTAGATTTTACCCAGGCATAATAATAATCAGCCCATTTAAAAGATTTGAAGATAACGCAAAAAAGCGAGAACATAGCTTCCTTACGTGCGTTTACGTTACGTGCGTTTACGTTACGTGCGTTTACGTTACTCGGTGCGTTTCGTCCTCAGTGCAAAAAGGGTTGGATAATTGCTAAGCGTAAGCTGAAATTTATATCCAGATGCAGATCGAAAGATAGCGAGAGGAAGAATGGCTCATTTGATTGGCGCCTTGTTTATGACCAGGGATCTAAAAATTGGCGGACGGGTGTACATTCGTACCTAAAATATAGTACCTAAAATATAGTGCCTGAAAATAAAGTACAAGTTTGACTTCGTACGGTAAAACCACCAACAACAAAAAACGACAATACAATCTAAGGATAGCCCGGCATCTCGTGAGCTGTCATAACCATGACAACTCGCAAGAACTTGTGAGCTGTCATAACCATGTCACCCCTAAAAATCCTGGAAAACCAAGACCCCTATGCCAGGCCCCCTATGATTTGATGCGGACATTTTAGAGCCATCTCACACCTTTAGAACCAGTGATCTAGAACTGTATCAGAAAATAGGCGCAACAGAAGGAAAAAGAGGAATCGAGCCAAAAGATAGCCAGGAAGCAAAGAGGAAAGGAAAATGAATAGTAAACAAAACTTGAGAAGAAGCAAGGCTGAGCCAATCTATTCTGATATTCTTCAGTCATTCATGCTTCATTGAGTAGTCATGTAAGAAACCTCTTATCCTTTTAATTTCTTTCAGAGATTCAGCGACTAATGGGCTGCTTTGCTTTCATGAGGATTGGATTGGAGAATTCTCCATACTCGGATTTGCTGGATCCGGTAAATTGGCTAGAAATCAACGACATTCTTGCCCGAGATGCATGCACACTTCTTGGTCTCTCCATCAGCAGTCCTCTTGAAGTCAGGTAATAAAGCGTTCTCCTTTTTCGATATAAAATCAAGTCGATGATTGAAGAAGTTAATGCCTTTTAGTTGATGGTTTAACACAAAGTCGTAGCGGCAATGAAAAGAAACAGTCGAGGTAACTATATTGATGCAAGGTGGTTAAATTAAGTTATCGGCAAAGCGACTTCTGTTTGACTTCTTAAACATCATTGTAAAGTCCTTGCTTTAGTGCTTCCATCTACTATTTACTATCTATTTATTTTCCACTTCAAATTCTTAATCATAAATAGTTTTTTGTTTTATTAAAGGGATATTAGATAGAAATTGTAAATATAATAGTTTCAGTTATTTTTGCACCATTTAAAACTAAAAAGATGCTTTAGTGCATTAAAGGAATTCTGAGTTTGGGGGACGAAAAGCCTAGAGTGTTGTATGCACTTTGGGTTTCGAACTGGTTTAGAAAAGGAAAACTTATTTAGAAGAAGAGATTATATAACTTTACTTTACTAATAGAATCTGATCAGTGTTTGTAAATTCAGTGTTTTAACCGTCATAAAGGTATGTCTAAAATTTATTTTTCATCATTCTGAAGACACGGCCATTTAATATTTTTACTAAACCAGTAAGACACGGCCATTTAATATTTTTACTAAACCAGTAAGACACGGCCATTTAATATTTTTACTAAACCAGTAAGACACGGCCATTTAATATTTTTACTAAACCAGTAAGACACGGCCATTTAATATTTTTTCTAAACCAGTACGTCTTTCAAAAACACAATGACTCATTCTCCTTACACATCTAGTAGGACGTACCTTAACCAATTCAGGTGCATTGTTGTACCTATTTTTTTAAAAGATGTCATGCATCTAACTGAAAATTGGCAAAAAACCAGACGGCATCGCATGACCGTGGATTTTGAAAATAATGACTTTAATGACTGCAGGCTCTTACCCTTGATTAAGCTCTAGTAGATGACAAACCCACTTTTTCTCTAGTTGATGCCAAACGCACTTTGACTATAGTAGATGACAAATGCACTTTGACTATAGTTGATGCCAAACGCACTTTGACTATAGTTGATGCAAAACGCACTTTGGCTTTAGTTGATGCCAAACGCACTTTGGCTCTAGTTGATGCCAAATGCACTTTGGCTATAGTTGATGCCAAATGCACTTTTTTCTCTAGTTGATGCCAAACGCACTTTGACTGTAGTAGATGACAAATGCACTTTGGCTCTAGTTGATGCCAAATGCACTTTGGCTATAGTTGATGCCAAATGCACTTTTTTCTCTAGTTGATGCCAAACGCACTTTGGCTATAGTAGATGACAAATGCACTTTGATTATAGTAGATGACAAATGCACTTTGACTATAGTAGATGCCAAATGCACTTTTTTCTCTAGTTGATGCCAAACGCACTTTGACTATAGTAGATGCCAAACGCACTTTGACTATAGTAGATGCCAAATGCACTTTTTTCTCTAGTTGATGCCAAACGCACTTTGACTATAGTAGATGCCAAAGGCACTTTGGCTCTATTTGATGCAAAACGCACTTTGACTATAGTTGATGCAAAACGCACTTTGGCTTTAGTTCATGCCAAACGCACTTTGGCTCTAGTTGATGCCAAATGCACTTTGGCTATAGTTGATGCCAAATGCACTTTTTTCTCTAGTTGATGCCAAACGCACTTTGACTATAGTAGATGACAAATGCACTTTGGCTCTAGTTGATGCCAAATGCACTTTGGCTATAGTTGATGCCAAATGCACTTTTTTCTCTAGTTGATGCCAAACGCACTTTGGCTATAGTAGATGACAAATGCACTTTGACTATAGTAGATGACAAATGCACTTTGACTATAGTAGATGCCAAATGCACTTTTTTCTCTAGTTGATGCCAAACGCACTTTGACTATAGTAGATGCCAAACGCACTTTTGCTCTAGTTGATGCCAAATGCACTTTGGCTATAGTTGATGCCAAACGCACTTTGGCTATAGTAGATGACAAATGCACTTTGACTATAGTAGATGACAAATGCACTTTGACTATAGTAGATGCCAAATGCACTTTTTTCTCTAGTTGATGCCAAACGCACTTTGACTATAGTTGATGCAAAACGCACTTTGGCTTTAGTTGATGCCAAACGCACTTTGGCTCTAGTTGATGCCAAATGCACTTTGACTATAGTAGATGCCAAATGCACTTTTTTCTCTAGTTGATGCCAAACGCACTTTGACTATAGTTGATGCAAAACGCACTTTGACTATAGTAGATGACAAACCCACTTTTTTCTCTAGTTGATGCCAAACGCACTTTGGCTTTAGTTGATGCCAAATGCACTTTGACTATAGTAGATGACAAATGCACTTTGACTATAGTAGATGCCAAATGCACTTTTTTCTCTAGTTGATGCCAAACGCACTTTGACTATAGTTGATGCAAAACGCACTTTGGCTTTAGTTGATGCCAAACGCACTTTGGCTCTAGTTGATGCCAAATGCACTTTGGCTATAGTTGATGCCAAATGCACTTTTTTCTCTAGTTGATGCCAAACGCACTTTGACTATAGTTGATGCCAAACGCATTTTGGCTATAGTTGCTGCAAAACGCACTTTGGCTATAGTTGATGCAAAACGCACTTTGGCTTTAGTTTATGCCAAACGCACTTTGGCTCTAGTTGATGCCAAATGCACTTTGGCTATAGTTGATGCCAAATGCACTTTTTTCTCTAGTTGATGCCAAACGCACTTTGGCTATAGTAGATGACAAATGCACTTTGACTATAGTAGATGACAAATGCACTTTGACTATAGTAGATGCCAAATGCACTTTTTTCTCTAGTTGATGCCAAACGCACTTTGACTATAGTAGATGCCAAACGCACTTTGGCTCTAGTTGATGCAAAACGCACTTTGACTATAGTTGATGCAAAACGCACTTTGGCTTTAGTTGATGCCAAACGCACTTTGGCTCTAGTTGATGCCAAATGCACTTTGACTATAGTAGATGCCAAATGCACTTTTTTCTCTAGTTGATGCCAAACGCACTTTGACTATAGTTGATGCAAAACGCACTTTGGCTCTAGTAGATGACAAACCCACTTTTTTCTCTAGTTGATGCCAAACGCACTTTGGCTTTAGTTGATGCCAAATGCACTTTGACTATAGTAGATGACAAATGCACTTTGACTATAGTAGATGCCAAATGCACTTTTTTCTCTAGTTGATGCCAAACGCACTTTGACTATAGTTGATGCAAAACGCACTTTGGCTTTAGTTGATGCCAAACGCACTTTGGCTCTAGTTGATGCCAAATGCACTTTGGCTATAGTTGATGCCAAATGCACTTTTTTCTCTAGTTGATGCCAAACGCACTTTGACTATAGTTGATGCCAAACGCATTTTGGCTATAGTTGCTGCAAAACGCACTTTGGCTATAGTTGATGCCAAACGCCCTTTGGCTATAGTTGATGCCTAACGCACTTTGGCTATAGTTGCTGCAAAACTCACTTTGGCTATAGTTGCTGCAAAACGCACTTTGACTATAGTTGATGCCAAACGCACTTTGGCTATAGTTGATGCCAAATGCACTTTGGCTATAGTTGATGCCAAATGCTTTTTCTGCGCATTATTTCCAAGGGAAATAAGCACTTTGAAGTAGTTTAATTAGGGGTGTTTTTTACTGGTCTCGGATCAATGTTTGGGTCTTGAAAATAGTTCGTTGTCTTTTAAAAATATCTATCGATGAATAACATCTATATATTATTTTCATTTCTTGTCGTAATGTAGCCAGTTGTCAATAGAAAACTTTTTTTAGAATAAAACCCATTCTGTCAGGTACAGGTGCGTGCACAATGTTTCAAATAATTTGAGGCGAAACTTTTGCCAGATGTGGTAGACACATGTCCCTATGAAAGACATTCCAAAGTGTTTCCTTTTATAGTTAAATTTGAAAAAACAACGCCGAAAAAGCTGAAAGAAAAGATTGTTCTGCAAGGAGCAGTGTAATTGAGTAAAACTAAACATCCACAAATTTATTAAAATCAGTATAGCATTTCCAGTTGCTTTTTGTCACTGGAAATTGTTTTTGTCATATTTGGTCCGTGGAAGCAAAATTGAAGTGTAGTTAATGGAACCTGTCGAAATCATGAAATTGCTCATTTGGGAGTATTGACTGATTGTTTTCTAAGAGATATCAAACTGATCATAAATAGCTATTTTGAAAGAAACGATTATTTTTGCGGAATAAAAAATCAACACCTTTATCTGAAGACAACCTCACCTGTATTTGAACCGTGACGAAACATCAAGTAATAAGATGTATTATTTCATATATGATTATGGCTATTTTTTCAAGTCTTCCTATTCGGTCCAGGATCTTGAAATAGCCTTGAGTTCTTTGTGCTGCCCATCTTCAAATGCCTCTTTATACGTATGATTTTAAAAATCCTAACTTGACTTCTTCTGCGCAGCGTCACCACCGGCTGTATTGCTCTTCCTACCCTCCTTCAAATAAAGCAAGTAATGAGACAGCGACAGTGCACTGGAGTGTGGAGTTCCAAGGAGGAATTACCGGTATTTTCATTTTTTGTATCAAGACAATTTTTTTTTCTTTTGTTTTGCAACCATTAACCATCAATGCGCCTCAAGCCTACGAAATGCACGCTATGAAGTGTAACCATTTTCACCGTTACCCCTAAGGAGTATAAAGAGCTTTACTTTTTGTCTGATTAGAGGCAGGGTGCCTTTTTAACAGATTGCCTGTTTCAAGGGCTCTTTTCATAGAATGGAGCCTTATTAATAATACAAACGAACAACCTTTCCATTTTGATGAGCTGATGCAATTATTTGTTGGCAAAAGCAATGTCTTGATTTGTTTTATTCTAGGTTGAAATTGAACTGGAGAATGACTATCGTTTCCATTCAATATTCGCTTGCCCGATATTACGTCAGCAATGCGGCCGTACCAACCCTCCAATGAGACTGGTTTGTGGCCATGCAATCTCTAAAGACGCCCTCAATAAACTGGTAACCGGAAACAAGTAAGTTGTAATCTTCTTCTTAGCTGCTTCGTATATAGTAGTTTATCTCTACAAAAGTATGTTTCAGATTGATGTGCTCATTCTGCAGCCAATAATTTGTTGCTCTGTCAAAATCACCGTCTCTTTAATGATTTTTGCTTATATATGTCTGCTAGTTAATGTTGTGTAGAATGTTTCCATTCCGGCGAGGAAATGACCTATTTTGTACGCCCCTGTGGGATTTTTGTATACCGCTGATCGGTCGTTGTTACCTTCCCGCTATGCAGCATGACTATATAGCCGATAGAACATATATTCATAAAACATACATTTCGTGAAGACTGCATCTTCCATGGACAATTTCAGGCCGGTCTGTATCCAAGAATTTTATTTTGCATCCCAGAGGGAAATTTATATTTCTCCACGAGTTCCATTTCGCACCGATTTAAAACAATTTTTGCTCACATGTGGATTTCAAGTCGACCTAAAATTTCAGACCGACCTGAACAAACGAAACAAATTCAGGTGGACCTGAGTTTCATTTCGCCCTCTCATGTGAGCACTTCAAGGGCTCAGACCGCAGACTGAAATGAATTTCAGGCAGATCTGAGTTTCAGGCCGGCCTGAAATTTTTCGTGTGTGGAGGGTTTGAAGGAGTGACAAATTGACGTAGCTAAGGTATCTGTGAGTTTAGGATTTTAGCTTTTGATGTAAACATAGAATCAATCAGCTAAATTAGATTGTTTATTGAAAACAGCTTTGTTTCTTGTGTAATGATTCCATTAGATCGTTTTTTGCTTCAAGGTTGAAGTGTCCTTACTGCCCAATGGAGATGGACCCAAAACAGGCACAACAGATCAGGTTTTGATTGGCCAAGACGTTCTTTGGCTCGAATGGGTTAAAGTGGTGCAAATATTGCGAACCAGGTCAGTTGGCGTTGTGTTGAGAAGGTCATGATTTCCCGAAAGTTCAGATGGACTGTAGCAAATTTTGTGCTTTGCAGGACACGTTAGAAGGGCTGAACCATACCGTTAAATCTCTCTATTTCCTGTCCAGGGTTTAATGAGTTCTTTTAAATTTACTGTTATCAAGAAAAGTAGACAGTAACCTTTTGCCGACCAATCGAGAGAAGTCTATGAACGAAACCAAAGCTACTGCATAGAATCATCTTGATATGGATACAACCTAGTAATTCTATTTCACCAAAGAGTAGCAGCAGGTATCTATTTGAGTCTGCTGCAGGGCAGGGAAGGTACTTTTTTAAATACCAGACAGTATGATCGTTGATAACGCTCAGCAAATCCCATAGTTCTTGAAGCAACCTAAAGCTTTTACTGTACCTGCTAAAGCGTTATTTTTAGGCTTTTCAAGGTGGATTGGCTTTTCTAACTCTCTATCGCTTCTTTTAACCAAATCAGATTGTTTTCTTAACATACTCTTCATTTTGGATACGATATTGCGAAAAGGATATTCATACCTCTTATCTCACTTTTCATAAGATGTCTCGTTTGACTGTTGAATCGCAACTGGCATCTCTTATATGATGGATTGACGGTGCTAATTTTAGGTTTTGAATTTGATTTGGTGTATTTAGGTTTTAATGTAGAAAAGTGTTTCTATTTAAAGTGAACAAAAATTGAAATTCTGCATTTACATTTGCGTATTCTACTTCAATTGAAAGCTATTTGATGAAAATTTTGACAAGAAAAAGGTTTTTTTTTTTTTTGTAACAAACTGTAAATTTTCTTTCATTTGATCAAACGAACCCTGAATGAAAATTATGGGAGGTTTATGGGAGGTACGGAAGTAGAATTTTTTGCATTCTATTCAATTTCAATTCCAAATATCAACTCACAGCAACTTGGTACGATCAAACCACGACCATTCTTGAAACTATTCAGAGAGGCAGCCTGCTTTGACTCGGCGGACAGGCTATTCCATACTTTTGCACCTCTATAAGAGAAACTTTTCATCGGTAGCCTCAGGCCGGTCACCGTATCCCGAAGGCTGTATAATGACCAGGACGAATTTCAGGTGAAAAGGTCGCACAGGTATTGCATAGGCGGCAACCCCCTCACTTTTTTTGCAAAAAAGTGTTTTTAAGAGAATAGAAGAAAAAATAGCGCGATAAATCCCTTTACAGTATTGCTTTATTTCAAAGGAATAAGCCGGGGTCTATGGTGCCCGATAAAGTAATGAATTCCATTTTAAGACTGGAATTAATCAAACGTAAAAAACCATGCCTTAAAAATACAAAATATTTGCAAAAAGGACCGCGAGTAGCAGTCTGAAATGTTTTTTACGCTAGTCTAGAGGGCGTGGTAGCAAAAATTTTCTATTCGCTTCGCTCGCAAGGAAGCCTCCTCTTTGGTTATACCTAGTGCCTGCGACAACCACTCGTCGGCCTTCCAGTGTACCCCTAGCATAACAAGTGCCCCATAAAATCATAGGCATAGAATACCGTGAAGCATTTCAGTGCGTTTTTCAAAAGTTGTTTTCTTAGTTTAATAACGTTATCAACTCGAGCCCCACTTTGAATTTATTGGCGCCGCCCCTGTATTGTGGAGCCAGTTCATTCAGGGGCTTAAAGACCATTGTCTTAGATTCATCATAAACAAGTTCCACAACGGTCTTCCACCCCAGCCCTTTAATGAGAGGTTTGCTTGGGGCATCAAAGCTGCTATTCGTTATTATCATAGCCATACGGTTTTGAATTTTTGTAACTGATTAACTTGAGTTAAACCGGTGCAGCTCCAGACAGAACAGCTAACAGCAGTATCGAAAGTGGGACTCCACAATACCTGTTTAAAAAGCTTGCAATGTTTCTTTAGGGAGAAAAGACATGGCAATGCCTTAAAAAGCCAACTGCCCTCGATACCTTCATAGAAACTGCCTTGATTTGCTCTTTCCAATCCAGGGAGCAGTCAATTTGCATACCAAGGTGTTTTGTTTTTTGACTGCCTCAGGCTCATTATCACGAATTTTCAGAACCAAGTTTTTATTTTGACTTTTGAGAAGGTTGTGGTTGGTAGAAATCAGCATGGAATGAGTTTTCGCAATATTCAGGGAAAGCTTGTTGCCTTGTAGCCGCCAAGTGTCCAGTTTTTTAAGGTCAATCAATATTAATAGCCTCACTTAGCCGAGTCAAATCGTGAGACTGGTACCACAAACTGGTATCATCAGCATACATGGAAACAGTGAAACCTCTCTGTTGATTGTTTGGGGTGATATACAAAGATAGAGTCCATTCCCTAAGACAAATGTTTCAGTTGCAGAAAGAGAATAATCCGATAAATTAAAATATATTTTTTGGTATCGCTCAACAAGCCACCGAAAGATTTCCTTACTAGCATACCAATATTCCTATTGTTTTTTTCCGTGGTATGTTTTAGTATCCGCTGGTCAATTTCAGACGATTTGGGATATCTAAAAGATGTTGGCCGATGGCAGCATCGCTTGTTTTAACGGCGCTTCTAGACCTACAAGATCAAGAAAGCTGTCAAGGATCTTGAATTCTTGAAAAGAAATCTTAAAATCTAGAAAAGAAATCCTGAAATTTCAAAAACCTTTTGGCAGTTGCTGAAAGATTTTGCAAAATTCTGGCATATTCGAAGCCTATTTGAAAAGAATCCTTGACAAAAATCAGTATGATAATCAGTATCAGTTTATAAATCAGCATCTCTTATCATGAGAAAAGCGTTCACATCAAGCACCTTTGCCTCTGCTCACCTGCCCAAAAATAGCTATCCTGTAATAATTTAGGCGCGAAAGGCGCAGCTCCTATTTCCCCCTGCACAGGAGTCAAATACAGTGATTTGACTGGCTGATAGCGCAAGCAATGCAATTCAATGCTGAACGCTACTTTCCATGCGCAGTATCGACAACTTTTTTGGTCGACGGCATTGGTCGACGGTGATAGGCCAAGATTCTTTTGTTTCCAGACAAAGGTTTTTAGAGTTCTTCTCCCCAACAAATTGGAGACATGCCGTTATCGCAAGAGTACACGGACTTTTTCAACAGTTATCAAAGTTATAACGATATAATTAAAGTGTGGCATCGTGGATTTGACAACCAAAACAAAGCTTGGATTCGTGATCAGTTGTTGCCAGTATTGATTCCGAAGCTGAATCTTGAAGACAGGGATTTGCATGAGTTCAAAGTTCTTTCAGTGGGATCTGGAAATGGTTCGTTCGATTTGCTTCTTATAGATGCTTTCCTGAAAGAAATAAAGTCCCAGTATCCAGGAACAACCATGTCTTGGACAGTCGTCGAGCCCAATTCTGTATCAGTCCAGGAGTTTCAGAGAAAGGCACAGTCAACCGAAGACTATTGTGGCCATGTCAAGTTCGTCTGGGAAACAGCAATGTTCCAAGATTTTGTGGCAAGGCAACAGGGCATCGAAGAGCCTCAAAAATATCACTTGATAACATTCATAAACTCTCTCTACTACGTAGACGAAAGATTGGCACTAAGGCAGTCATACAACCTATTGTTAGAAGATCAAGGGGTAGTTCTTACTGTTAAAGAGGAAGAAAACTCAACTACACAAGAGGCTTTCAGGATGTACGTGCAGCTTATGGGACAAACGTCACGAGGGCTCACCCCTACAAATGAAATTCTCACCGAGTTACAGAAGGAGCTTGGTATAGCCTATGATCGTTTTACTGCACCTTTAAATGTGGAGATAACAGAAATTTTTCAAGACGACAATCCGGTGGGTGGGGCACTGATCAAATTTCTTCTGCACAGCAATGAGGACCGCAGGAAATCGAAGGAGGGGGTTAAATTGCTCGAGTTTCTGAAATCTGAGTGTAGGTCGACATGTGATGCAAATGGGGAACATTTATGCATTGTCAACAAGCAGGAAGTTACTTTAATAATGAAGGCTTTGTAAAACACCCTTGCTAGTGGCTTCATATTGATGCTATCTATGATCTTTTTTGGTTTATCTTGTTCATGTCATAGCAGGGGGGAGGGTTGTCATCTTAAACGTTGGGATGGGGATGGGTTGGGTGGGATAACCGCCCCTCTTGCCTTCTGATAAGAGGGGCAATTGGGACCAAAGTGCCCTCTACATAAAAAGAGCCCTTGACACCGGTCTTTTGAATTCGACACCTCACTTGCAGTTTACAAACTAATTAGTCTCAAAATCAAACAATCCCTACACTGGGGACCTTATCAAAGTAAACGGTTTAAGGGGTCACCATCCACATTTATAAATGTGTGGATGTGAATTACAATTGCCGCTCTAGAAAGTTTTCTATTTTGAATCACTCTTCCGCAAAAGCTACGGAGAGTCACCTTACTAGAAATAGCCTGCTATAAGCCAAAAAGCCATATCAAATTTCTCCAGCTAAACACAATAGAAGAAGCATCTGGAATTTGGTTCTTTAAAAAATCGGCACTGGAAAAGCTTCAAATGTGATAACATATATATATTTGAATATGAAGTTGTTTCGGAACTAGCATTAAAATTACGAAATGTGCTGGTTGTGACTCGGATGAGACTGGAATTAAAAACAGTAAAAAGGGAGAGGGGTCAAAGCAATGGAAACCAAAGCTTAAAGCCTGTAACATATTAAATACATTTGAAATGCCACAATAAATCATCAGAAGAAAAGATACAAGACTGGATTACCAATAAAGCTGAAATATCCAGAAAATGTGCAAAGACGAAACTTTCCATGAAAATAAAGATTTTGAAAATATAAAGAACGCTCCGAGAATGAGTTTAGCTGCAAAAGAAAGCAACATCGTCGAAACTAAAAAAGACAAGCCTTTAAACATTAAAAGATAGGAGAAGTTTGTTGAAGAATTGTATGATGAAGATAGGCAAAATTTTACACAATAGGAATATCAACAAGATGATTTTGTAGAAATTTCTGACAAATTTATTTAAAATTTGACAATAAAATTAAACAGGAAAACTATTAAAACGGGGAAGTTTTACTTGTGAACATTTTTATCCCTGTAAGAAAAAAGTGAAAAAGCAAACAAAAAGACAAAGCAATGAAATGTGGAGATCAATGAGCAATCAGCTCTACCGTATGTCACAATTAGTTCAGTCTTTTGAGGACCATGTGGGAACTCAGAACCTAAAAAAACTAAAAAACCCATTGGTGGTTTGTTGATTGTGTCGAAAAATTAAAATTGAAACAGGAAAACTCGGACCATCAAACTTCATGCCCGTAGACAGGGGGGCAGGAGAGCCTTGCCCCCTAATTATCTTCGAAAATTGTATTTGAAGATTTTATAAGCGCAGCTTGATTTGACAGTATTTCGTAAGGCATGTATAGAAAAAGCTAAATTTCTATCCATGCCAACCCCCCCCCCCCCCCCCAATCCAGTTTAGCTGTCTACGGGCCTGTAAATCTTCAACTGTCCAAAATCTGGTTTCAAGCTTTAAATTATTTTAAAATAGAAAAAAGTAAAGAAAACCCAAGTCTTTATAGAAAGTCTTAAACCCCTTGTCCGAGAGTTTTTGGTCTGAGATTCTCGAAAATGCGATGGAAATGGAAAGCTTTTTGTCCGAAGTTTTTTTTGCCGTCAGAGAAACTTTCAATTTGAACGTACCCAAAGGCCTTTAACTATGTACAACACTATAAACTGTTCAAGATGAACACAAGGCACGATTAAATTATATAAACGATCTCACAGAGCTGTTTTAATTTCACTGAGCGGCCAGTGCAAGCCCGTCCATCGGGCTGTGACCAATGATATAGAAGCGCCGAAGGCGCTAGATGTCTAACTGGGCATAATTGCCCATTGAACTGGTGAGGCAAAATCACTCAAGCGATAAAAGGGCAAAAAGACGATTCCGCATAAGGGCTCAGTACGGGACATTGCAAGTTTGACGAAGAAAAACCAAGATTATCGAAAATTAGCATAATTTTGAAAGGTTAGTTATACTTTGTATTTTATTTTGTATTTTATAAGTTGAAGGGTAGATGTAAGCAAGTATTCTTAGTCTTATATCATTATGACAACTTGTTAAATGAACACTCCCCTACTTCGGCAACCCCCTGCATATGACTACTGTTAAAAATTTTAGATGTAAGGAGTAAAAGATTTTATGATAAATTTGTTTTGAAGCGTTTTCAAAAACCCTGTTTATGTGTGTTCAAACTGCTGACAGAAACCGAGTAGAAATGCTCTTTTTGTGGTTTTAACCATTCACACTGATATGTTTTTGTTTCTATCCGCTTTTGTGGATATGTAGCACCCATTCAAATTTTTTTGCTTATAGTACCTTCATGCTTATAGTACCTAAAATGCTTACAGTCATTCATGCTTATAGTACCTAAAATATTGTACCTAAAATATAGTGCCTGAAAATATAGTACAGGTTTGACTTCATACGGTAAAACCACCAACAACAAAAACGACAATACAATCTAAGGATAGCCCGGCATCTCGTGAGCTGTCATAACCATGACAACTCGCAAGAACTTGTGAGCTGTCATAACCATGTCACCCCTAAAAATCCTGGAAAACCAAGACCCCTATGCCAGGCCCCCTATGATTTGATGCGGACATTTTAGAGCCATCTCACACCTTTAGAACCAGTGATCTAGAACTATATCAGAAAATAGGAGCAACAGAAGGAAAAAGAGGAATCGAGCCAAAAGATAGCCAGGAAGCAAAGAGGAAAGGAAAATGAATAGTAAACAAAACTTGAGAAGAAGCAAAGCTGAGCCAATCTATTCTGATATTCTTCAGTCATTCATGCTTCATTGAGTAGTCATCTAAGAAACCTTTCATCCTTTTAATTTCTTTCAGAGATTCAGCGACTAATGGGCTGCTTTGCTTTCATGAGGATTGGATTGGAGAATTCTCCATACTCGGATTTGCTGGATCCGGTAAATTGGCTAGAAATCAACGACATTCTTGCCCGAGATGCATGCACACTTCTTGGTCTCTCCATCAGCAGTCCTCTTGAAGTCAGGTAATAAAGCGTTCTCTTTTTTCGATATAAAATCAAGTCGATGATTGAAGAAGTTAATGCCTTTTAGTTGATGGTTTAACACAAAGTCGTAGCGGCAATGAAAAGAAACAGTCGAGGTAACTATATTGATGCAAGGTGGTTGAATTGAGTTATCGGCAAAGCGACTTCTGTTTGACTTCTTAAACATCATTGTAAAGTCCTTGCTTTAGTGCTTCCATCTACTATTTACTATCTATTTATTTTCCACTTCAAATTCTTAATCATAAATAGTTTTTTGTTTTATTAAAGGGATATTAGATAGAAATTGTAAATATAATAGTTTAAGTTATTTTTGCACCATTTAAAACTAAATAGATGCTTTAGTGCATTAAAGGAATTCTGAGTTTGGGGGACGAAAAGCCTAGAGTGTTGTATGCACTTTGGGTTTCGAACTGGTTTAGAAAAGGAAAACTTATTCAGAAGAAGAAATTATATAACTTTACTTTACTAATAGAATCTGATCAGTCATAACCATGTTGTAAATTCTTAAATTTGTAAATTCAGTGTTTTAACCGTCATAAAGGTATGTCTAAAATTTATTTTTCATCATTCTGAAGACACGGCCATTTAATATTTTTACTAAACCAGTAAGACACGGCCATTTAATATTTTTACCAAACCAGTAGGACACGACCATTTAATATTTTTACTAAACCAGTAAGACACGGCCATTTAATATTTTTACTGAACCAGTAAGACACGCCCATTTAATATTTTTACTAAACCAGTAAGACACGCCCATTTAATATTTTTACTAAACCAGTAAGACACGGCCATTTAATATTTTTACTAAACCAGTAAGACACGGCCATTTAATATTTTTACTAAACCAGTAAGACACGGCCATTTAATATTTTTACTAAACCAGTAAGACACGGCCATTTAATATTTTTACTAAACCAGTAAGACACGGCCATTTAATATTTTTACTAAACCAGTAAGAAACGGCCATTTAATATTTTTACTAAACCAGTAAGACACGGCCATTTAATATTTTTACTAAACCAGTAAGACACGGCCATTTAATATTTTTACTAAACCAGTAAGACACGGCCATTTAATATTTTTACTAAACCAGTAAGACACGGCCATTTAATATTTTTACTAAACCAGTAAGACACGACCATTTAATATTTTTACTAAACCAGTAAGACACGGCCATTTAATATTTTTACTAAACCAGTAAGACACGGCCATTTAATATTTTTACTAAACCAGTAAGACACGGCCATTTAATATTTTTACTAAACCAGTAAGACACGGCCATTTAATATTTTTACTAAACCAGTAAGACACGGCCATTTAATATTTTTACTAAACCAGTAAGACACGGCCATTTAATATTTTTACTAAACCAGTAAGACACGGCCATTTAATATTTTTACTAAACCAGTAAGACACGGCCATTTAATATTTTTACCAAACCAGTAAGACACGACCATTTAATATTTTTACTAAACCAGTAAGACACGGCCATTTAATATTTTTACTAAACCAGTAAGACACGGCCATTTAATATTTTTACTAAACCAGTAAGAAACGGCCATTTAATATTTTTACTAAACCAGTAAGACACGGCCATTTAATATTTTTACTAAACCAGTAAGACACGGCCATTTAATATTTTTACTAAACCAGTAAGACACGGCCATTTAATATTTTTACTAAACCAGTAAGACACGACCATTTAATATTTTTACTAAACCAGTAAGACACGGCCATTTAATATTTTTACTAAACCAGTAAGACACGGCCATTTAATATTTTTACTAAACCAGTAAGACACGCCCATTTAATATTTTTACTGAACCAGTAAGACACGGCCATTTAATATTTTTACCTAAACCAGTAAGACACGGGCCATTTAATAATTTTTACTAAACCAGTAAGACACGGCCATTTAATATTTTTACTAAACCAGTAAGACACGGCCATTTAATATTTTTTCTAAACCAGTACGTCTTTCAAAAACACAATGACTCATTCTCCTTACACATCTAGTAGGACGTACCTTAACCAATTCAGGTGCATTGTTGTACCTATTTTTTTAAAAGATGTCATGCATCTAACTGAAAATTGGCAAAAAACCAGACGGCATCACATGACCATGGATTTTGAAAATAATGACTTTAATGACTGCAGGCTCTTACCCTTGATTAAGCTCTAGTAGATGACAAACCCACTTTTTTCTCTAGTTGATGCCAAACGCACTTTGGCTATAGTTGATGCCAAACGCACTTTGGCTATAGTTGATGCCAAATGCACTTTGGCTATAGTTGATGCCAAATGCTTTTCCTGCGCATTAATTCCAAGGGAAATAAGCACTTTGAAGTAGTTTAATTAGGGGTGTTTTTTACTGGTCTCGGATCAATGTTGGGGTCTTGAAAATAGTTCGTCGTCTTTTAAAAATATCTATCGATGAATAACATCTATATATTATTTTCATTTCTTGTCGTAATGTAGCCAGTTGTCAATAGAAAACTTTTTTTAGAATAAAACCCATTCTGTCAGGTACAGGTGCGTGCACAATGTTTCAAATAATTTGAGACGAAACGTTTGCCAGATGTGGTAGACACATGTCCCTATGAAAGACATTCCAAAGTGTTTCCTTTTATAGTTAAATTTGAAAAAACAACGCCGAAAAAGCTGAAAGAAAAGATTGTTCTGCAAGGAGCAGTGTAATCGAGTAAAACTAAACATCCACAAATTTATTAAAATCAGTATAGCATTTCCAGTTGCTTTTTGTCACTGGAAATTGTTTTTGTCATATTTGGTCCGTGGAAGCAAAATTGAAGTGTAGTTAATGGAACTGTCGAAATCATGAAATTGTTCATTGGGAGTATTGACTGATTGTTTTCTAAGAGATCTCAAACTGATCATAAATAGCTATTTCGAAAGAAACGATTATTTTTGCGGAATAAAGAATCAACACCTTTATCTGAAGACACCCTCACCTGTATTTGAACCGTGACGAAACATCAAGTAATAAAATGTATTATTTCATATATGATTATGGCTATTTTTTCAAGTCTTCCTATTCGGTCCAGGATCTTGAAATAGCCTTGAGTTCTTTGTGCTGCCCATCTTCAAATGCCTCTTTATACGTATGATTTTAAAAATCCTAACTTGACTTCTTCTGCGCAGCGTCACCACCGGCTGTATTGCTCTTCCTACCCTCCTTCAAATAAAGCAAGTAATGAGACAGCGACAGTGCACTGGAGTGTGGAGTTCCAAGGAGGAATTACCGGTATTTTCATTTTTTGTATCAAGACAATGTTTTTTTCTTTTGTTTTGCAACCATTAACCAACAATGCGCCTCAAGCCTACGAAATGAACGCTATGAAGTGTAACCATTTTCACTGTTACCCCTAAGGAGTATAAAGAGCTTTACCATTTTTCTGATTAGAGGCAGGGTTCCTTTTTAACAGATTGCCTGTTTCAAGGGCTCTTTTCATAGAATGGAGCCCTATTAATAATACAAACGAGCAACCTTTCCATTTTGATGAGCTGATGCAATTATTTGTTGGCAAAAGCAATGTCTTGATTTGTTTTATTCTAGGTTGAAATTGAACTGGAGAATGACTATCGTTTCCATTCAATATTCGCTTGCCCGATATTACGTCAGCAATGCGGCCGTACCAACCCTCCAATGAGACTGGTTTGTGGCCATGCAATCTCTAAAGACGCCCTCAATAAACTGGTAACCGGAAACAAGTAAGTTGTAATCTTCTTCTTAGCTGCTTCGTATATAGTAGTTTATCCCTGCAAAAGTATGTTTCAGATTGATGTGCTCATTCTGCAGCCAATAATTTGTTGCTCTGTCAAAATCACCGTCTCTTTAATGATTTTTGCTTATATATGTCTGCTAGTTAATGTTGTGTAGAATGTTTCCATTCCGGCGAGGAAATGACCTATTTTGTACGCCCCTGTGGGATTTTTGTATACCGCTGATCGGTCGTTGTTACCTTCCCGCTATGCAGCATGACTATATAGCCGATAGAACATATATTCATAATACATACATTTCGTGAAGACTGCATCTTCCATGGACATTTTCAGGCCGGTCTGTATCCAAGAATTTTATTTTGCATCCCAGAGGGAAATTTATCGTGTGTGGAGGGTTTGAAGGAGTGACAAATTGACGTAGCTAAGGTATCTGTGAGTTTAGGATTTTAGCTTTTGATGTAAACATAGAATCAATCAGCTAAATTAGATTGTTTATTGAAAACAGCTTTGTTTCTTGTGTAATGATTCCATTAGATCGTTTTTTGCTTCAAGGTTGAAGTGTCCTTACTGCCCAATGGAGATGGACCCAAAACAGGCACAACAGATCAGGTTTTGATTGGCCAAGACGTTCTTTGGCTCGAATGGGTTAAAGTGGTGCAAATATTGCGAACCAGGTCAGTTGGCGTTGTGTTGAGAAGATCATGATTTCCCGAAAGTTCAGTTGGACTGTAGCAAATTTTGTGCTTTGCAGGACACGTTAGAAGGGCTGAACCATACCATTAAATCTCTCACTATTTCCTGTCCAGGGTTTAATGAGTTCTTTTAAATTTACTGTTATCAAGAAAAGTAGACAGTAACCTTTTGCCGACCAATCGAGAGAAGGCTATGAACGAAACCTAAGCTACTTCATAGAATCATCTTGATATGGATACAACCTAGTAATTCTATTTCACCAAAGAGTAGCAGCAGGTATCTTTGAGTCTGCTGCAGGGCAGGGAAGGTACTTTTTTAAATACCAGACAGTATGACCGTTGATAACGCTCAGCAAATCCCATAGTTCTTGAAGCAACCTAAAGCTTTTACTGTACCTGCTGAAGCGTTCTTTTTAGGCTTTTCAAGGTGGATTGGCTTTTCTAACTCTCTATCGCTTCTTTTAACCAAATCAGATTGTTTTCTTAACATACTCTTCATTTTTGATACGATATTGCGAATAGGATATTCATACCTCTTATCTCACTTTTCATAAGATGTCTCGTTTGACTGTTGAATCGCAACTGGCATCTTTTATATGATGGATTGACGGTGCTAATTTTAGGTTTTGAATTTTATTTGGTGTATTTAGGTTTTAATGTAGAAAAGTGTTTCTATTTAAAGTGAACAAAAATTGAAATTCTGCATTTACATTTGCGTATTCTACTTCAATTGAAAGCTATTTGATTAAAATTTTGACAAGAAAAAGGTTTTTTTTATATTTTGTAACAAACTGTAAATTTTCTTTCATTTGATCAAACGAACCCTGAATGAAAATTATGGGAGGTTTATATGACAGTACGGAAGTAGAATTTTTTGCATTCTATTCAATTTCAATTCCAAATATGAACTCACAGCAACTTAGTACGATCAAACCACGACCATTCTTGAAACTATTCAGAGAGGCAGCCTGCTTTGACTCGGCGGACAGGCTATTCCATACTTTTGCACCTCTATAAGAGAAACTTTTCATCGGTAGCCTCAGGCCGGTCACCGTATCCCGAAGGCTGTATAATGACCAGGACGAATTTCAGGTGAAAAGGTCGCACAGGTATTGCATAGGCGGCAACCCCCTCACTTTTTTTGCAAAAAAGTGTTTTTAAGAGAATAGAAGAAAAAATAGCGCGATAAATCCCTTTACAGTATTGCTTTATTTCAAAGGAATAAGCCGGGGTCTATGGTGCCCGATGAAGTAATGAATTCCATTTTAAGACTGGAATTAATCAAACGTATAAAACCATGCCTTAAAAATACAAAATATTTGCAAAAAGGACCGCAAGTAACAGTGTGAAATGTTTTTTACGCTAGTCTAGAGGGCGTGGTAGCAAAAATTTTCTGTTTGCTTCGCTCGCAAGGAAGCCTCCTCTGTGGTTATACCTAGTGCCTGCGACAACCACTCGCCGGCCTTCCAGTGTACCGCTAGCATTACAAGTGACCCATAAAATCATAGGCATAGAATATCGTGAAGCATTTCAGTGCGTTTTTCAAAAGTTGTTTTCTTAGTTTAATAACGTTATCAACTCGAGCCCCACTTTGAATTTATTGGCGCCGCCCCTGTATTGTGGAACCAGTTCATTCAGGGGCTTAAAGACCATTGTCTTAGATTCTTCATTAACAAGTTCCACAACGGTCTTCCACCCAGCCCTTTAATGAGAGGTTTGCTTGGAGCATCAAAGCTGCTATTCGTTATTATCATAGCCATACGGTTTTGAATTTTTGTAGCTGATTAACTTGAGTTAAACCGGCGCAGCTCCAGACAGAACAGCTAACAGCAGTATCGAAAGTGGGACTCCACAATACCTGTCTAAAAAGTTTGCAATGTTTCTTTAGGGAGAAAAGACATGGCAATGCCTTAAAAAGCCAACTGCCCTCGAGACCTTCATAGAAACTGCCTTGATTTGCTCTTTCCAATCCAGGGAGCAGTCAATTTGCATACCAAGGTGTTTTGTTTTTTGACTGCTTCAGGCTCACTATGACGAATTTTCAGAACCAAATTTTTGTTTTGAGTTTTGAGAAGGTTGTGGTTGGTAGAAATCAGCATGGAATGAGTTTTCGCAATATTCAGGGAAAGCTTGTTGCCTTGTAGCCGCCAAGTGTCCAGTTTTTTAAGGTCACTCAATATTAATAGCCTCACTTAGCCGAGTCAAATCGTGAGACTGGTACCACAAACTGGTATCATCAGCATACATATAAACGGTATAACCTCTCTGTTGATTGTTTGAGGTGATCTACAAAGATAAAGTCCATTCCCTAAGACAAATGTTTCAGTTGCAGAAAGAGAATAATCCGATAAATTAAAATATATTTTTTGGTATCGCTCAACAAGCCACCGAAAGATTTCCTTACTAGCATACCAATATTCCTATTGTTTTTTTCCGTGGTATGTTTTAGTATCCGCTGGTCAATTTCAGACGATTTGGGATATCTAAAAGATGTTGGCCGATGGCAGCATCGCTTGTTTTAACGGCGCTTCTAGACCTACAAGATCAAGAAAGCTGTCAAGGATCTTGAATTCTTGAAAAGAAATCTTAAAATCTAGAAAAGAAATCCTGAAATTTCAAAAACCTTTTGGCAGTTGCTGAAAGATTTTGCAAAATTCTGGCATATTCGAAGCCTATTTGAAAAGAATCCTTGACAAAAATCAGTATGATAATCAGTATCAGTTTATAAATCAGCATCTCTTATCATGAGAAAAGCGTTCACATCAAGCACCTTTGCCTCTGCTCACCTGCCCAAAAATAGCTAGCCCCTAATTTGACTCAGAAACTCGATGTGACGTCACCAAAATTTACTTTTAGATTTTTTAATTTTGACTATAGCTCCTAAAAGAGCATTATGAATACCTCTCAATGTACAAAATTTGTTGAATGTGTTACAAATTGGCTGAGACATTGTCATATGAGCTCAGGCTTTGGTCTTAGTTGATAACTTTATGAACCAGGCCAGAATAACAACAATCCGTTTGCAAACTTGCAATCTTTCATCGGTCATATCTCACCCAATTTTGAATATAATTTTGCATGTTGAGAGATATTTATGCTGTTCTAAATTAAGAAGTTCTAAAAATTGTCAGCAACAAAACCTCGAACACCAACATAAAAAAGTTCTTTCTTCAGCATCAAGTATTGAATTCTACACCCCCCCCCCAGGGGGGTTAATCCAACTGTGACGGTAAACACTTTAAAGCAGCAGTTTTATCCTTGCTAGAAATTCATTTTCGTTTGGTGCACAAGTTCCGAAAAAATATATTGCATAAAGAACAAACTTTGTACTGTGCACTGTTCGGTAACAAACCAGGGCCTAAAATAAGAAATTTTTTAGATCTACATTTCTTAATAAAATTTGGGCGTGGTGCTTTGATGCGATTGGCAAAATGGGCGTGGCAAATATAGATACAGCCACTATAGACCGACGTGGCTGTTTTCTTGCAGATCTAAAATTACAACTTAAACCTGCGATTCTGCTATCGGGCAATATTACTGGAAAACCCAGATTGTGCAAAAAACTATAATGGCGACATGTTTCAGATTATTGGTAAAGCCCGATCGTCGTTCCATCTAGCAGTTTTGGAATCTATCTACATAAACACGAAAAAACCGCTACTGTGTAGAAAAAAGGAGTTCGTTTTCATCTTAGGACTCCATTGGTAACATTCTCAATAGGCAAGCGGCACTGATTGGTCAACCTCAACAGTCATG